TTCTGTAGCGCTTCTCTGGACCCTCCACTCAGAGCTCTTTCCAGATAATGGGGACCCCTCCACCCCCAGCAGTGTGTACCCCCACCTGGATGATGCTCCAGTCCGCTCCCCACACCAGCTCTCAGGGGGGAGGAGAGCAGAGTGATGGAGCCAGTTCAGAGAGGGGGGGTCATTAGGAGGCCATGAGGGGTAGAGACCAGGGGGGAATTTGGCCAGGACACTGGGACACCCCAGGATTTTTAATGACCACAGACAGTCAGGACCTCGGTTTTTACATCCCATCCGAAGGACGGCGCCTTTTTACAGTCCGGTGTCGGAGACCGTTTGGTGTAACTCTTCCCGAAACTCGGAGACTCGCGGGTCCAGACAGGGTTCGAGCAGGCGTGGGGTAAGAGCTGCTCAGCTGTGAGATGGGACCGATCCTGGCAGCGGGGGGGGGGGGGGGGCGCTCGTACCCCTGCGTCCGTGCAGCAGGCTCACGAGCGGCGTGTCTCCCCTCCTGCCCCCCCAGGCACGCAGGCCCTGCCCCCCCTCTTCGCCCTGGCCTACCACCAGTGCCGCTGGAACTACAACGACCAGGAGGACGTGGCCGCGGTGGACGCCGGCTTCGACGAGCACGACATCCCCTACGACTTCATCTGGCTGGACATCGAGCACACGGACGGCAAGCGCTACTTCACCTGGGACCCCAACAAGTTCCCCGCGCCCAAGGACATGCTGCAGGCCCTGCAGGCCAAGAAACGCAAGGTGTCCCAGGACGTCCCGGGGCGCTCTCCCCCTGTCTGCCCCGCCCTCCGTACTGACCCCGCCCATTCAGGCAAACGTGCCACACCCCTTTCCCCGCCCCATCTGCGTGCCACGCCCCCTCAGTCTTGTCCTGTGTCGGAAGCCTCTGCTTTGCTGTCTCTGTCCTGTCTGGGTCCAGTTCCTCCAGTACAATTGATCTCCTCTCTCTCTCCCCCCCCCTTCTCCCCTCGCTCCCTGTCCCCCCCAGATGGTAGCGATAGTGGACCCCCACATCAAGGTGGACAGCGGCTACAAGATCCACAATGAGATCCGCTCCAAGGGCTTCTACACCAAGAACAAGGACGGCGGGGACTACGAGGGCTGGTGCTGGCCAGGTGGGTCCGCCGGGCCGGGCCGGGCCAGGCAGGTCCGCCGGGGAGGAGAGGAGCTCGCTTGGCTCCGATACTGGGGTTCTCCGTGGTGGAGAGTAATGACGGGGGGTCTCTAGTCCGTGTCCCGGAACACCCCGATTGATATCTGGGGTCAGGCTGGAGCCGCCTGGTTCTCTAGACTGGGGGGCTGCTCGTCCGTCGCTGGTCGGGGACCCTGCGGGGTTTGGGGGTGTTAAATCCCGACCGCGGCGCCCCGTTCCCCCCCACCCCTCTGCTCTTCACACCCCCTCTCCCTCCCCACAGGCAATGCGGGATACCCCGACTTCACCAACCCCGAGATGCGCTCCTGGTGGGCCAACATGTTTGCCTACGACCAGTACGAGGTGAGAACGGCCCCCCTGCTCTTCCCGGGGGGGTAGGGGTGACCCCGAGGGGGCAGTTTTAAAGGGGGCTCGAAGGTCGGGCAGCTGCAGAGGCTGTGTAGTTCATTAACCCTTAATGAGCAGCTCAGGGAGGTTAGTGCCTCCTTTCAGGGGCTGGAGGTTAGAGGTCAGAGGTCAGCGTTTGTAACGGACCTGCCCCCCCAGGG